AGAATTTAAATGTTTTTTCTATAGAGTAAAAGATCATTTTATCAATTAATTATATTTTGCCTGATACATTTTGCTCCTATGTATTAAGAATAAATAACAACATATCTGAATAATTTCAGGAGTGAGATTTGGAGAGGAACCGTACACATAATATTTACGAAAATACGGTATTTATGATCAACTGTGAAATCTTAGGTCTAATTTGAGTTACACTTTAAAAAGGAAATGAACATTTCACTAACAGATCCAAGGCTTCTCTATTAAAGTCCATATCTGTGTGGGCTTTCTATTAAAGTCCAATTCTCCGTGGGCTTGGGCCCAAAATGTGGAAATTTTCCTAAAGAAGCAAAGTTGTTTCCACGTAATCATGACTAATGACATAATTAGGAAATAGAGAGTCCGTTTTTTCATATATCTTCAATTAAAATAAATATAGTAGCAAAATGTCATGTCTAAAACAATAAAAAAAAAAGAATTGTATGATACAAAAATTGTAAGAATGGAAAACGAACTTACGTAAGCGAAGAGAATTATAAAGCAAAAATATTCTTACCAACCAAACAAAATCTAGAAAAACGAAAGACTATTCACTCGAATCATCGGATAAATTTTAAATTACAAAAATAATATGCAAAAAATTAACTCAACAGTTCAAATTATATCATAAATTAAATTTAATCAACTGAATTACTAACGTCTTCGTTACGGCTATGGTAACCACAAAAGGAATTTTGTTTAAAACAGCGTAAAATTTTATACAGTAAAGTCGGCAAAGGCAACAGTATATATTGTCTCAATTTTTTTCCCCTTTTTTTCATCTTCCTTACATTACAAAGTAAATAAAAATCTGCAAAGCTTCACTGATAGCCATGGAAACTTTGACGTCTTCTGCCACAACTACCCCTTCTCTATCCGTTTTTGCTCCTAAATCCAAACATCTCTCTTCTCGTAAATTTGTCAAGTTTTCAGTTTCACGCAAAAGTATGTAATTTGCTCATTTTTTCTCATGTTTTTTCAATCATTTATTGATTCTAATGCTAATCTTTTTGTTTTTGTTTTTTCAGATAATGGAAATGAATCCGATCTTCAATCTGATGCGAATGACAACACCAGTATCGTTCCCATCTTCAACAATCCTACTCTCTCCAAGGTATTTTTGATTGATCGAGCTTAAACTTGTTACTTTTATTTGATCTGATTGTTATATTTCCATGAAATTATGGTGATTTTTGAGGTTTTTATTTGTGGTTCTGTTCTATCTAGAGGTATTTTTGATCCATTGACCTGAAAGTTCAATTTTTTTTTGATTTTATTGTTGGGTTTCCATGAAATTATGTTGATTTTGAGGTTTTCATCTGTGGGTCTACTTTATTTAGGGGTATTTTTGATTCATCAACCTCGAAGTTGCTTAAATTTATTTTCTTTGATTTAATTGTTGGGTTCTGATTTAAGGTAATTCTGAAACATCACATCTCGAATATACTTCGGTTTCATTCAATGAATTGTTGGGTTTCCACAAAAATATGGTGAATTTGGGGTTCTGATTGATGGGGGGTGCAAGAGTAGTTTTGATTTTTCACTTTAAAGTTCGTTTCGTTCGTTGGTTTAATTTTCGAGTTCTCCAGGAAGTTGAGGTCATTTGGGATTCTAGTCGGTGGATTGTGCTGGATTTTGAGTTATCGTCCTCAAAATTGAGTTATTTCTTTGTTTAAATTGTTGGTTTTTAACTATATTGTGGTGAATTTGGGGTTCTGATCAGTGTCTCTTTCGGGGATTTTCACCAGGATGCAGCTATGGGTTTGGTCCTTAGTGCAGCTAATGTAAGAGGCTGGACTACTGGCTCGGGTATGGAGGGGCCACCTGTGCCTGCTGGTTCTGATTCTGAATCCAATACTGACCAGATTTCCACCTTCCCTTGGTCTCTCTTTACTAAATCTCCGCGAAGGCGTATGCGTGTGGCCTTTACTTGCAACGTCTGTGGCCAACGAACTACTCGTGCCATCAATCCTCACGCCTATACTGATGGCACTGTTTTTGTCCAGGTACTTTACTAACAAGAACCTTACAAGTTACATTGGTTGATGAAAGAATGAAACAGTGACCCTTTCTTATGTAGCTTATTATTTCATATCTTTATCGAAAAATAGAAGACAAATGCTTCCCTCAGAAGTAAGAAAGGATCTTTCTGGAAAAAAGTAATGAGGACTTGGTAAGGAACTTTCTAGAGAAAAGTAAAGAGGACTTGTTTCTAAGGGATGCAATTTTACCCTAATCAACCAAGTTTATTGAGAAACATAACTTTTTAGGGTGAGGGATCGGACGAGATTTTGAATCATTGTATTGGTCTTATATATTTCAATATCGAGGATGAGACCAAAGATTTGCATTTGTTGATAAACTCTCCGGGGGCTGGGTAATAGCTGGGGTGAATATTTATGATATTGTGTAATTTGTGCGACAAAATGTCCATACAATATGCCTGGGACTAGCCGCTTCTATGGAATCTTTTATCTTTATCGGAGGATAAACTGCCAAATGTTTAGCATTCTCTGCTGCTTGGCATGTAAGCTAATTTATTTTTGGTTTCTTGTTTTGGCAGTGTTGTGGATGCAATGTATTTCACAAGCTTGTGGACAATTTGAACCTGTTCCATGAGATGAAATGCTACGTGAGTCCTGACTTCAATCCAAATCCAGACAATGATATTGGCTTCAAGTATTTTGATATGGATGATGACAACGATGAGGTCTTTCCGCTTTTTTAAGGTCTGATAGAAGGATGTGTAAAAATTAGATTGTTATACATTCCCTTGCTTCTATTAGGCAGTTTCTTTAATCACATGACTGTAAATAACAAGTACACCCTGTTTATATGACTGTTAATAATTGAATATGCATATTGATGTGTCTTATCTTGGTTAGGTCTTGAATCTTGTGGATTCCATTATGGAGTTTGTTTGGACAAGTGCCCTGTCCTTATTGATGTTTGCGTATACATTTGTGCTGCTGGGTTCTAATATTTGTGATGAATTTATTCCATATTTTCTAATCACAATCTCGCTGAAGGATATCCTATCTATGCTTCGTTTGGGGCTAGGATGTCAAAATGCCAGCCACTTTTTGGCTTTTGTTTACATGTGCTTACTAACTCTGCTGGTTTCTTTTTATTTTTATACACTATGGTTGGTTTGGGTGAATAAGTGGTCCATAGGGGGGGATGTAACAGCGATGGTTACTTCAGTACCCCTAGTAGAGTCAGAAATGAGATAAATTAGCTGCATGATTTCTGAGCTAGATTGTTTCTACCCCTTTTTTCCCTTTTGGCTTTATTGAACAAAGCAAAGCGTTTTTGTACCCCTGGAATATCATGCCAGAGTTTTTGTTTTTGCTGGTTCATCTTGACATTATATGCCTGTTGTGAACTTGGGAAATCGAGTACTAACTTGGTTGGAATGAAAAGCAGCTCTAGATTCAAGGGCTGTCAACCTTTTGAGCTGGAATTTATTGTTTTTTCTTTTACAAGCAAGACAGTGAGCATGACTGGCGATGCGATGTAAGCCAGTTGGTTATGTTAGGGAATCTTTTTGATAGGCTACTTATCCAGAATGGAACCTTGCTTGATTTTGGTTTTCCATTGAGGGAACTGTGTTGCTGGCACTTCATTTGAAGGTCAGATAGTGGCTTTTCCTACTTACCACTTAAGGTGATTTGGTGTGAGGTTAAATGGTAACCTAGGGGTTCAAGTGAACTCAGTAGCTCCTGCACAAGCTCTCTATATGTATTACAGTTTCTCTAAATATTTGAATTTGGCCCCAATTATTATTGTATAAACTCAAGGACATTGTAGGAAACCCATAAGCTTAAAATCTTAAATTCGCCTCTGCAATGAGGTTAATGGTCCTTTGCACTAAGCTCATCCTTACTGTTACCATAGGAGCAGGAGAAGCTGATTAATACCCATTCTCACTGTAAGAGTGTGGCTTTGGGGCTTATCATTTTCTGTTGCTCTATGTATGCTTTGTTAAGTATGAAACCTTCACTCAAGGTATATTTTAAGTACAGTCCACATGTGATGATATTTTGAATTAGAATTGTAAAGCAGAATTAGATGGAATAGGCCTTGAGGGTACTTAGTACAATTGCAGTACAACTGAAATAAGGGTAGTACATTAGAGTACCCTACAAGAAGCATAAATATATATATGAGTTTGCATTTCCTAATGTTTATGGCCTATTCTATGTCAATGCATGGAGCATCAAATTTGTGGTAACTTTGCAGGTTAGTCCTCTCTTCATGTAAAGAACCCCATATCAAATAATGTATAGTCGTCTCCGTTTGATCTATAGGTCCAGAAGTTTGAATCGTAGGAGCAATCATTAGTGCTTACATTAGGATAGTAAAGCCTATAGATCACATCCCTTTCATCGTGTTAAAGGGTTTTTAGATTAATCGAGGGGAAAATGCAAGTAATAGATAAATTTACACTTATACTGTAGATATTTTTACTTACTAGTATGTACAAGTAAAGTTATATTTATATTTTGTATACGAGGGTTTATTTGTTTTGAAAATATCTTCTCTTGTGAGCTATGGTTAAGTTAATCGTGTCTCGTTCCATACCACACAATAATCGATAATCACATTAGTATTTTCCATTAACATAACTAAGCTTCTTTTAACTATAGATATATAATTCAAGTCGAAAACGCATCTTAAACCTATCATAAATTACATGTCTGCATCTTTCAAAGGGGAATTGTGACGAGCCACATAATGGAATATCTACGTATTGAAATTTCTATGTATTCTACTAGTTTAAACTTTTTGTACATTCAATATAATTGTAGCCCTTCAATTTCCATCTTTAGATAAACATATACACGTCATAGGATATATAATCCATATCAACCAATAGCATTGTTTCACAGCAGATAACTGTCCATCCTCTCATCAAAGTGTACACCACTCATTTATACAAAGAATCAACCTCTTCCTTCGTTACTCTATCTACAACCTCACATATTAAAACCCCATCAACTCCTACTCCCCTTTTCTTGATTCCAAATTTTCAATCACAAAAGCAACAACAAGAAGCATATTAATAAACAATGGCCACTGTTACCTCTGCTGCTGTTGCTATTCCATCTTTCACTGGCCTTAAGGCTGGTGCTTCATCATCTTCCAGAGTTAGCACCGGTGCATCCGCTAAGGTGGCAGCTGCCCCAGTTGCCAGATTGACTGTGAAGGCGTCTTTGAAAGATGTCGGTGCTGTGGTTGCTGCCACCGCTGTTAGCGCGATGCTTGCTAGCAATGCCATGGCACTTGAAGTGTTGCTTGGTGGTGATGATGGGAGTCTAGCTTTTATTCCTGGGAACTTCAGCGTTAGTGCTGGTGAGAAAATTACATTCAAGAACAATGCAGGGTTCCCACACAACGTCGTATTTGATGAAGATGAAATCCCAGCTGGTGTGGATGCTAGTAAGATTTCCATGTCTGAAGAGGATCTTCTGAATGCAGCAGGAGAGACATACAGTGTCACTTTGAGTGAGAAAGGAACTTACACTTTCTACTGTGCACCTCACCAGGGAGCTGGAATGGTTGGCAAAGTTACTGTCAACTAATTTTTTTCACACCTCTGTTTTGTAAAAGTTGATTTGAGTTCCCATCAATTTCAACATTTTCCTTTTAGTATTGCCCTTCTCTTTTTGAGGTGTAATGAAAACTCAGGAAATTAAAGTTGCATATGTATCCATGTAATGTCATTTTGTGATTAATACCAGCTTTTTTGGACTGTAATGTTGCTTTTGTAACATCAAAAAGTTCAACCTTCCTCCTGATGGTAAAATAACATACCCGTTTCAGTTGCTTAAACTCTTCAAAAATGTTGTCAATCATCCATAAGTAGAGCGTTTTTGGAGAATCCGAGCAACATAGTATCTCCTGACCTTTATGGACTTATCCGTATTCACAGCAATGAAACTAAAGAATAAAAATATAATTCTCATAGTAGAAAGGGATATAGATAACCGCAAATGGCCGAAAATTTTCACTCTGCATCTGTTGAAATTACCTTAAAGTTAACTGTACATTTGGAGAGATTCTTGAGATCATCATGAACAAGATATATATTACATTATTAGTATAACAAAGAATGGTATAACATTAGTAAACATGATGCGCAACTTCGACAGCAACCAAGATGATATATTTCTTGCTCACTGAGTTGGAATTCTGCTAGTTATTCTCACCAATTCTATACGAAATTGGTTTGATTTACAGGCATTACAAAACCGGAAGACGGGAAGAGTTATGTGGTTAAAGCATCAGGAAGATTGGTTCGAGCTCCTAGTATTTTACCACCAACATCAGGAAAATATTCATGACCAGGCAAGGAACTTACTTGCCCATCAGTACCTACTTGGACGGGATACTTGAGAAGATGACCTTGTAAAGGTTTGAATTCATGAGCTGTAAATCTTTTCCAGTTATCTTCAGCAACCTCATTTACATGCTTCACGCAGTTCAAACTTTCTGGCTTTGTGAAGATATCGTCTAACTTGCCCATGTGCTCTGCCCATAGAGACATTCTATAACCATATACCTGCAGCCAAAGGCGGATCAACGTGATTTCAACTTTTACGTGTTCAGAACGTAACATTTATTGCAGTGTTACTGATTTTTTTTACATCAATATCTATGTTCAATGTTGAAAATACTGAGTTCGGTTGAACCAATCAAATAGAAGATCTATCCGCCTCTACATTCAGCTGTAGTTGTTAATTTTAACCAGATATGTCAAGAAGATTCTTATGTAGACAGGGTAGCATGATCTAAAAAAATTTTCCTGCTACTTTTGATCAAAAACAAAAATGTTCTAGTTTGCTTTATTTGGGGAAGGAGATTCACGGACCTGGCCATGTGGATGTCTTTTCTTCATAGCCCAAGTGTGATGAGGTTGATACGCGCCCATAGCTATCTCTGTGTCTCTTGAACCAGCCATAGATCTTTGGTTAATATTGGCAGATCCTAAAATGACATACTCATCGTCCACTATCATCCCCTTGGCATGTACATATATCATAAACCGTCCAAATTTCTGTGAAGCTGAAATCTGATGGCAGTTTCATGGCAAAATTAGCCCTCATCATTATGTGTACTTACAAGTCTATCTATAACAACAACACAGATAGTTTTTGGTGAAGGTTGAGAGTCTGTTTTTTCGTAGATCCTCGGCTCAAGTAAGAAAAGGACATATACAGATATCTATAATGAGATAATGTCTAGGATTTCAAAAGATTCATACAACCATCTCTGAACCTTTTGTGATTTCTTTTGTAACAGCACGCCAATTTGGCGTACTTCTATTATGTTGAACATACAAAAGAAAAAAATAGATCCATTTACTACTAGGCTACTATTTGTTCTTCGGAAATATTTGAGAGACAGCTCCTATAACTGGTCAAATGTTGTTTAAGGTATTCTCTTGGTTTATAATGTATACAGAAGAGTTGATGGGTACTCAGCCGATGTCATGAAATGATCAAATTACAGAGAAATAAATTTAGATCCGTTCACGAGTTAGAATAGTTTTATTTCTTTTAATCTAGAAAACTAGCATAGATACTTGTACATACAGAGTATACAAAGTGACAAACATGTTTCTAATTTTACTTAAAAGATTGTCTCAGTGATCAGAAATTCACAATCAAGCACATACAGTTGGAGAAGTAGCCTAACTGAAGGAAAGAGGGTATCCTTGAGTATATTGAACCACTTCAATTCCAAAAAACATCAGATAGATTTTAAAGCATCGTTAAGCGAAAGGGTAACATGACAATTACTTGGCAGACATAATGAAAAAAAAGATTCCTACCAAATCGCCATTTGAAGCATAGTTAGACTTTGACTCTCCATGTAATTCTTCTCGATTACCCAGACAATAGAAGTTTAGATAGTCAGAAAGATGTACATCTTGAAGTTGAGAAGATTTTAGCTCTTGAGCAATGATTCCATACATCATTTTCATAGTTTGCCTCTGCAAGATAAACATGATAATGAGAATAGCAGCGTAGGATATAGTCTCTTAGGAACTAAGAACAATCTTCGATCGTTTCTGGAATCAAACTACAACAAACTCAATAAATTAAACGGAGTAAAACTGAAGTCCAAGAAGTGTAATGGAATTGTCAGTACCCTTCAGCAAAGAAGAGGTCTTTACTATATTCTCTTTCGGAAATGGCAACAGAACTAAGAAAGTGTTCATTACATCCAAAAGAGAAGAGAAAACAGAGAAACAAGTAAAAGAGGAGGAGCACCAAACTAAAAGGAGGACTTATACAGGTAGATATATACTCAATTATTCAATTATCCACCAAACTAATTAGATTATCACGTTTGGCTCACTTATCCCCGTGTTAGGGGCAAGAATTACCAAATCATGCACTGGTGATCCGAAAAGTTGGACACTGTATATCACTCTTTCAGTCGATCAAGTTAAATCACATTCTTATTTTATTGATTAAAACAGTCAAGCAGACAAATCATACAATGCTGACATTTAAAGAATAGTATGCTGCATAACCTGCCAATACAGAATTTCTTGCACTGAGGCAGAAGTGGGGACTCCCTCGGGCCACATTGGAATGACAATATAAACAGCAAACCGCTCTTTTGCCCGAATTTTGCTGGCTATTTTTAAAGCAAGCTCCATGGGAATTAAATTATCAGCACCTAAAGTATAAGCAAACACTGATCAGGGAACAAAAAACAATGGAGCCATAAAGAGTTGCACACAGAACCAAGGAAACCGCTCTTCACTGGCGTAGTCTAGGTGACCAAACAGCCTCATTAAGGTACGACTCCTTGAGTAGAGATGATTCATGTCTTTTCTAATATGATTCATGTTAATGGCCATGATTGGGTGAAAAAACAGTAGGCATACAATGATGAATTTCAGCTCAAAGTATGTCTTTAACACTTAATTTGGTTAAAACGACAGGAAAAAGAAGGGAACCAAAGTGGATTAGCATTGTTCACTTCAAAGAAAAAGGGTTATTCTCCATATTAAATATAAATGAAAGTACAAGAAAAAGTCTCAACTAATCCTCCGGTACCTCACCAGCACAAGTACCAACTAACTCTATCCACCAATGTGTAAACAAATGGGAAGAAATCACCTATCTTTTGATAAAGAAGGGGATTTGAATCATGAGTGTAATTTAACTATTTGTCATTAAAAGCACAATATTTCTCTCCAAAACTGAAGGCATCACAACTTCTGAAGTAGAAGAGTACCATGGCCTACAATTTACTTTATCCTGTTATTTATTCATGATTAAACAAGGTAAATGATCCTTCCGATCCATGTTAATCACCTTCCACCTATCCTCCTCTTTAACCCAACCAAACATAAAATGAGCAAGAACTCCATTAGTTAGAGACATTGGATTTGTATCATATCTCATGGCAGTTACGGTTCTTACTTTCCTTTGACAATCCAAAAGCACAGAAGAAGACAAATGATGCTAAATAAGATTAGGAACAACAATCATTCCGAATAAAGATGATAAACCTGCTTCTTTGTATGAAGGCCAAGCGTATGATGACCCAAGGAAATATTGATTTTCAATATAGATAAAATGTTGTGCCTGTCTAATTGCTTGAATATATGCCATCTGGATACTTCTATCAATCACCAAATTTTTTGCACAGACAAGGTTCTGCAATGAAAAATGTCAAGGACCTTTTAGAAAGTTTAAAAAATTTCAAAACAAACGTTATATAAAGATGGCATGTGATGCACCTGTGATTCTGCCAAAAGAACATCTTTTGGGAATCCTTTCAAAGACCCTGAATCAATAGATCGAAAGACCTGTAAGCATTCAAACAACATAGTGTTAGCTTTAACTTAGTTAAACCTAATCAATGACTCAATATTTTACGTTGTGAAGAAAAAAGTTAGTTCCTGTGAACCTGAACATGCCAGTTTTCAGGATCTTCTTCCTTGGAAACCCACAAAGATTGGTCATCATTTGGAACAGAAGAGGAAGGGCTTGTAATCCAAGAAATTCTTTCTATTTTGATCAAAGCATCGTCATGCCAATGAGATATCTTTTTCAAACGTCTTCCAAACTCTGACCATTTTGTGGCTTTTCTCCATCGCTGCTCAAAGTTTGTGAGTACATCATATGCGGCAGGTCCTTCAATCTTGCAATGCAAGTCATGCCATGGCTGTCTCGGTGCCTTGGTTCCTGTCTATAAAAAAGACAAAATTATATCTTTGCCAGGAAAATCCCAAAACATCACTCGGGGATAAAAAACATGATACCGGGTCAATAAATGAAGGTCGGATAGAGAGGAACAACATTAGTTCAGAGAGAAAGTGTGTCATCATTTTTTTAGGCTTGCAAGAGAAAAAGATAACTGAAAACTAAAATATCAACTGCTTAAAAAAACAGATTTTTTGAATTGCCTATATGTAATATTTTGGCAGGTTGAGATTACTAAAAGAATGTACCGCTCAGGTGTTATATATTTCCCATCACAGAGGTCTACAATGAAAAATACTCACACTAAATGTTGGATTATGAAAATCATCCTTGAAGACTGTGTCAAGATCACGGAATAATCTATGCTCAGGTGTATCATAACGGCCGTCACAGAGGTCTAGACCGCCAAGGAAAGCTGAAACCTTTCGGTTATTGCCACTGGCTTGTGTGTCCACAATCACACACTTCTGATGGTGCGTATAAAGTGTTCCCACCACCTGGATATTATATAAACAGAAATGTAAGTTATCTGGATGGTTTAAATGAAAAGGAACTTGTATAGTTTGTCAGGTCTTTGGAGGGAGCGATCTTATGCAAGATCGTAGGACACAAGTATTTTCACAGAAATAATGTAAAATGCATACACAAGCACATCTTACAAGTGATTGATATATAGGCTGAATATTTATGCCTATGCTTTTCTCCGTCACATTTTAAAGTAAACTTTTGACAAAGTTAAATTACTTTTTCCATGTAGGTCTCTCAACATCTCCTATCTCAGATAAGGAATGAAAATTTTCTTATTGTAGGTCTTTAATATGATAATTAAAATGGCAAACAGATACCATGGACAAAGAGGAAGCAGTTTGCCACAAAGATCAAGAATTTTGAGTTTTCAGGCTTGAAAATTGTCCCTTGAACTTAAAAGCCAGAAATCATCCATAATCAGACTATCATCTACTCGAGTCAAACAAAATATTGGTATGGTGTGAAGCATGCCTGTTGCTTGAAAATGCTTAGCTTACTGCTCGCATAACGAGGTGCCAGCACACAGTTGACGGATGAGTGCTTAAAAAATTTCCGAGTTTCTTCATCATGAGTTTGCATCACTCCATCCTGCACAATTTGGTGCTTATTGAATCAGAAGTACAGTATCAAAATACTATCAACTACACGAAAATTGCCAAAAGAATAATATATGCAATTAAGTTAACATCTTACACAACTAATTCAAATATTAAGAAAAGCAAGGCATAGTAGATGCACAGGGGTAAACTACATGAAAGGCTACAGAGCCCCACAGTCTGAGATTCAGTTATGGCCCTTGAAAGGCCCCATTCAGTTGCCTTACATCATTCTTCAAAGTATATATTCTTGAGAAGGCTTTTAAAAACTTTTTTTTGAAACAAGCACCAGTAATCTTCTAGCTATAAAAGATTCTACCTTTACAATCCACTCATTCCCTGAGGTAGACTACCACCTAACAAACTTCAAACACAGTTTGACCGATCAAATTAAGCCGGTACTGCACACATAAACAGGAAAGCTCAACAAAATGGTTATTGGGGTCTCTTACAGAATAAGCTATGGGGATAGACTTAACAAGAGCTTTAAATGCGCTCAAGGGAGGTGTCCAGTAATACCATCAACTTCCAAAAGTGCATGAGGGTAACAAGTGTCCTCCATAGAACAATTCTTGTTGAAGGCATAAAGGTAGTGCCAAAAACATCGAAAAGTGTAAGCTTAAGGAATATCAGGCCCTCCAGCGAATGAAGCCAAGCACCTATAGAGTTGCTACTTCTTCATGAACTCACATTACACAAGCAGATAATAGGCAAAAAGGACCATCATTACCATAAGATCTAGCTAGTGATGCCTCAATCTTCAAAAGCCACTAGATCTTTGACCTATATCATAGTCCATTACTCCATTAACAACTTCCAAAATATGGAATCACGGTATTTCCCTCTTTTTCCGGTTGGTTTAAAAAGCAAGAATAAAGTTATCGGTTTGTACTTATGCAGAGCCCTGGACCTAGCATAGTTATCAGCTGCAATGAAAGAATTCACTGTTCATCCATAATACCAAGAAAAGAGCCAGAATTTTTAACTTTCCATGTTAGGAGAGAAAAGATACAACCTAGAAAAACATTTCCTAAAATGAACAGGAACAAAGATTCAAAAAGGGAAAAGGGTGAGAGAGAATTACTTCACTGTACAATCTACATGATCCCAACATACATGTAAAGTTCCAAAAAGGAAAAGTAGATTATTATAATGTGCCTCACCAACTAGTCAAATGCTATATAATACCAAGTTTCACAATCTATTAATCAAATTGAAAATCATTCACCATAAAATTATCCACGAAGGCACAAATATCATACCGTTTGAATGAAGAACTTGCTGTGAGAAGTTTTATCATCCCAAACCAACAGCAATACCCTCACACCTTCCTCCGATTTGTACTTAAGCAACTCTCCAAGTGTCAAATCTCCGCCGCTCGGCAACGGCTTACTTGGCTCCCTAACCAGCTTCACCTTGTGAAAAATTGACCACCCTACCACGTACACCAAATGATGTGCCTCCAATATCGCATGACATATATCTTCCCAACACTTGCTATGCTCAAATATCTTATCATCATCCAATTTAATCTCCGGCAACATCCCGTCAGGCACGTGAGCGTCCTGATACAGAGTAACAGATCCTCCGTGCCTCACCGGGAAATAACTCGCTTTCAGGCCAAAATCTTCTGATATACCGCCGTTATAAGACGGATTACCATCACAATGTATGAATCTCATTTGCAGCCGAATTGCACAATCAGGCTTTGGAGGTTTTCCATAAGGTCCAATTATAGGAAACCAATCATCAATTAGCTCACCGGACTTGATCTTCTCAGCCAGCACGGTAGCAACTCCGATATAATCCGCACCGAATACATCATTATCCTTAACCAGAAACTCTACAACCGAAACCGGATGAGCAAGCGGGATTTTAAAATGCTCGTTCCAAACAGGATCCTGACAATTCGATATCACGCGCGTACGCGCCACAGTAGCGCCGGTTAAGCAAACCGTCACATACGGATCACTGGTGATGATTTTCCGGCGATGACCTTTCCTTCTCCGGCGAGTAAACGGTTTCCGGCAGATATCTAAAGCTGTAAAGCATCGACTGAGACGTTCGGTTACTAAATCCATGTTAGGTAACCTTCGAGCTTCTATAATCTTCAAATCAAAGTCTCCATGAAGATATACCACATTTTCACAATTCTCATCCGCCATTGATATATAATATATATATATATATATATATATATATATATATATACACACACACAAATTTACACACACAAAACAAAAACGATCCTTGAGGCAATGTGATATATAAAAAGTTGAAGGTGAATCGTGTAACCGCCAGCTATGGCGGAGTGGTTAACCGACGGGAAGGGGGGAAAATGAACAAAAATTGGTGTCTCCGCCGTAGCCAACGGTGGTGGAAAAAAGTAGAAAGGTGGTGGTTAGAAGAAACAGAAAATCAGCAAATTAATACATTTGTGTGAGAATTGGAGCACACGTTCGATGCGTTGGACTTTGAAGTTTACAATAAATAGTTTTACACGTGGCTATTTTCCGTGTTAAATGCTAAGTTTTGGTCAAATTGCCCCCAAAATTCTTATTTTTGTTTGGAATGAGTAAATTTCAAAAAATGTCTTTTACTAAATATTTCTTCTATCTATTTTATTCATCGTGTTTATGTAATTGATCTTATATAATGGATAGGATGCATATCAATAGAAAAGATCATTTTAATTATCGTATTTATGTAATTGATCTAATAAATTAGTTAGGATGCCTATTAAAATTAGAAAAGATGAAAACGTCTAATTTTTAGTTTCTTATATTTTAATTATCGTATTTATGTAATTGAGCTAAAATAATGGATAAGATGTTAATAAAAAAATGAATACGTCTAATTCAAAGTTTCTCGCAATTTTAATATAGTAAATTGCTACTTAAAGAATCGAAAAGATATAATAAATTGATAATTGTTATCTTTATCCCTAATCAAATAAACATGAAGAAAAAAAAAAGATAATATTAATAAAATCAAGAATAATTAAATTCTTTTATTTAATGTTTTCCTAAAATGTGAAAAAAAATATGATAAAATAAAATGGACGATGGGGAATAAATAAACCAATAGATTTCGGAAGTTTGCATTTATGCGTTTACTTTTGTTATGCTTTTCGCAAGGTCTATATTTACCATGGCCATATCAAAACAAATTATAGAACACAAGCAAATTTTTTGAGACAAATTATTTTTTTTTAAATTATATTCTCTCCGTTCAGAAATATTTATTATGTTGCGTTTATCAAAAAGTTAATTTGACTAAATTTTAAAATTAAATTAAATCACATTAATTTAATATTTTAAACAAAAAAATTAGATATTTCAAAACTATATGAAAAATATTATAAATTATAATTTAATTGTATATTAATATGATGGAAAAATGCATCTTAAAATGTTAGTCAAAGTTTTTATTGTTTGACTCTAAAAATAAAAATCATGATAAACAATACCGGACGGAGGGAGTATATCAATGTTCAATTTTGGAATGTTTTTAAATATGTTTAGACAAATTAATGTTTCTTTAATTATTATTAGTGTTAATTTTTGAGTAATAGTATCACATAATTAATGTTTCTTAAATTACTATATAATTCTGTCACGAATTTAAAATATATATGTTATTTGATTCTCTGTGGTTCCAACAAAACAGCAACAATGTTTTCTTATTTTTTTCAGTTCCAAGATAAATTGTTTTTGAATGTTGTGCACAAATTAACTCATGTGATCAATCGGCTAATTGTCATTACTTAATTTATAAATTAAGCAAGTTAATCCTCGCAAGTCACGAAACAACCAGAACAAAGAGTTTAATATATTTTTTTTAAATGTCGTAAATTTTAAAATAACGATAAAATTATTTATATATAATCTATAAATTACGAATTTAAATTATATATAATCTATAAATTACGAATTTAAATCGTAAAAACAGTTATTAACTTTGAATAATTTATATCACACTCTTCCAAGTGCGCTCTTTTCTATCGATGATGGTGGGATACTTGCTTTGCCTTTTTTTTTTTTGGTTATTTGTTTCTTTAGGCAGTAATTTCTATTTGTTAACAAATGAGTATTTATTCATAATTTTGTAACTCGTTATGGGTTGAACTCAATCTTTTACCAAACAAAACCTCATATCATCAACTAAAAAAAGAAGAAGTTCACATAGTTCAAAATACAAAAGTTTAATTATTTAATTGATTAGACTATGTCCGCCTTAGAATAATTAAAAACGATTTTCTTCCTTCTCTTGATCCCTACTCACCTTCCATAGAGCCGAGTCAATGAATTTTTATATATCTATGTCACTTTATAAGGCCCCATTTCATTGAATTCACTATTAATGGTAGAATTTTTAGTTACGTGGTACCACATTCATTTTTATATCGATATTAATTAAGTCTATCGCCTGCCTAGTATACATGAATGGAATCACATTTTTCAGAAAAGAACAATTACACCAACTCACTAAATACTATACTTCATTAATTCCTACAAATAGAGTATTCAAATAAAAGAAATTATCGAAGATGTTAATGAAAAATAAAGAAATAATAAATAGTATTATCAAGTTTAAGGAAACATGTTCCATTCAAAGATATTCCATCACATTCATGATGATGATTTGATAAATTACAATATTTCATGAAAAAAACAATGTACTAGTGGATCTACTTGGATTATCATACATTTCTACACATTCTTAATATCCTATTAGGAAGAGCCTCAAGTAACTAAAATTTTGGCTTCAAATTGGAATAAATTTGTAATAAAGTACTAATTGCATGAGACTATATACAATCAATTTACTCCAATTGCTTGGCTATGGCTATGCTAAGTTTGAATCATTTACACTCCAATTGGTTACATTATTATCAGGCTTTATCATAAGACTCTGAATGAAGGCTAGCATCTGCAATATAATTGAATCATATTATATAAGTAATTGCAACAAAAATAAAATTGAATTATGAATTATGAGAAAGTGCTTACTGATCCAAATGCAGCACAAGCTAAACCGAATCCCGGGTAATGGAACGGGGCGTTTTGCGATAGAAATAAAGCTGAAAATGAAACGATATCATCAGATTAAGTTGACCTAAGTTCGAAAAATGTAAAAAACAGAGAATTGACAGAACAAAAGAAAGAGGGCTTATTTAGTTACCTGTTAAAGGACTAAAAATTAGTGGTGAAACTACACTTGCAAATGAACATATGCCTGTGATGCATCCCTGGACTTTTCCCTAAAAACGAAAAAGTTAAAAGTAAAATTACTTGTTGTCAGTGGCGGCTCAATAAAATTAGTGGCTTAAAGTTAAACCCGAACAAACTAAGTAGTGATTGTTGGATATGTACCTGCTCATTTGGCCCAATTTGTTTTGACGCAATGCTCTTTAACTGTAATTAGTATAAACCCTTGTCAATTTTTGATGTTTATAACTAATGAACAGGAGATGGATTAATTTGAAATGAACTTACACATGGCATTGCAAAAATAGACAACATTGAGATCATAGCACTTGCATAAGGGACCTGCATGAATTTTACTTGTTAGAAGCACCTCAACTCATATAAAAACCAATGGAGCATGAAGGGGGGAGAAAGTCATGTTGCTCGGATTCTTTAAAAATGTTATAACACTCGTGTTAGTTTCTTCGAAAATGAAGAATCTGACATGAGTGCGACTGTGTTTTTAAAGAAACCGAACAACATAGTGTTGTAAGAGGGGAGGGACCTACCCAGGAGGACCAAGCAATGCTGTAAAGCAACATCTGCAATTGGATTTGGAGACAACATCAATAAAACAAAGTTTTTGAATTGCTTCAAAAAATATACACGCCCTCTGTTTCAATCTGTTTGTCTTACTTCCTTTTTTAACAACTTTAATTCTACCTGACATGTTTAAGATGACTAGATTCAAAAGTCTTGTTTACTTGCTCAAATTCTGTGTCAAGTCAAAACTAGACAAATAAATTGAAACGAAGGGGCTATGTAGTTAAGTATATATAGATAAATTGTTTTGTACATGAAGACAACTGAAGAAGAGGCCAATAGAAAGCAACTTCTCTTCTCCAAAAGCAGGAGCTAATATGGGCATGAGAAGTAGCTGCAATAGCACAAAAAGAAATCAGAATATTTTTAAAACCAATTAAACTTCAGAAAAAAATGAATATATACAAATTAAAAAAATTAAATCAAGTTAATTACCTGTGATATGGATCCTGCTATCCCAGAAATTATCAACAAATCAGCAAATTGAATTTTGTTAAAGTGAAATTGTGCCTTCAAGAAAAACTGCAGAGATTTTTAAGTTCAATAATCCATATATAAAGAACGTCAATGTTCAATGACATGTATCTATGTTTAGAGACTTTATTCATTTTAAAACGTCAACATATAAAATGAAACGAAAGAAGTATCATATGATACGATATTAAACTTACAAGTAAAGAAGCTTCAAGGCCAACTTGTGCAACATTGGCAAAGAATGTAACAATAGCTGCATGTAAAAATGTCGAGCTGCAAAGTCCATTCAAAATGACTATAAATTTCAAATACTGAATTCGACTCTGATCGATTGATTAAAAAAAAACAAGTCTTAACCAAACCTGGTCTTTAACAAACAGAGCATATCACTGAATGAAGGCAATGTCTTGAAAAATTGGAATCCTTTCTTTGGAGCTTTTTCCAATAAACAACTAGTCTCTGATATTTTCGAGCAAATGTTACCATTCGTTATCGATTCAGGGAGGAACATTTTCATGTATACTAAAGCTATCACTGCCATTGCTGCAGCAACCTACACACATGTAATAATCGATTCAACAACAATTAAACGGTCAGTATATATAACTTAAATCATACTAGTTGAAAATATCGCGTACTTGGAAAGTGGAAGCAGTGGATAAGAAGCGAGCGGAGAGGTTTCCACAGACAAAAGCAGAGGAAGCAATTCCAGAGAGGACTCCAAAAACAGAGGCACGACGACTTTCTGGAACATTATCAGCCTGAAATGAACAAAAAATCGCGTAATTTTATTATATTAAACTACTACTATTTGATCTTTAAAAAAAAAAATCCGATAACAAAATTCATGTTTTAAAGTGTGAGAATTACCACATAGGCAAAAGCAAGACACTGAACAC